TTTGGCCATATTTTACTGTTTTACTTCCATAAAGGGAAGAATGCGTGTCAAGCTTGTGAAAAGCTGCGTAAAGTTTATGGTGACAATGTTCTACAAGAACCTCAGTGCCAACGATGGTTCATGAAATTCCATGCTGGTGATTTTGATCTCAGCGACGCTCCTCGGTCAGGGAGGCCCACCAAGGTTGATGACGACAAAATAAAGGCATTGATCGAGTCAAACACACATTAAACGACATGAGAGATTGCAGAAACTTTGAACATCCATCATTCAATCACTTACGACCACCTGAAGAAGCCGGGATACGTAAGCAAGCTTGATATTTGGGTTCCACGTGAACTCAAAGAAGTTCATTTGATGGCACATATAAACATCTGCAATATGCTCCTTAAACATGAGGAAAACGATCCTTTTTTGAAGCGACTGTTAACTGGTGATGAAAAGTGGATTGTTTACAACAACGTGGTGCACAAACGGTCTTAGTCCTGACGTGATGATTCGCCTCAAACAACATCGAAAGCAGACATTCATGAGGGGAAGGTTATGCTCTCAGTGTGGTGAGATTTTAAAGGTGTCGTGTTTTTCGAGCTCCTACCAAGAAACCAGACAATCAATTCAAATGTGTTCTGTTGGCAATTGGACAGTTTGAACAAATCCATCATCCAGAAACGTCCAGAGCTTGTTAACTGTAAAGGAGTTGTGTTCCATTGCGACAATACGAAACCACATACAAATCTGATCACCCATCAAAAATGATTGGAGCTTGGATGGGATGTGTTGCCACACCTACCACACTTGCCTGACCTTGCACCATCAGACTTCCACTTGTTTTGCTATCTTTAAAACTCCTTGCGTGGTATAATGTTCGATTCAGATGAGGCTGTAAATCAGCACCTTGTTCAGTTTTTCGCAAATAAAGACAGATCCTTCTATGAATGAGGAATCATGAAGCTCACTGAAAGATGGCAAAAGGTTATGGAACAAAACGGGCAATATATCATTGATTGATCTTTGTTCTTTATATAAATAAATGACCTTTGAAAAACATAGACAAAATACGTCATGACTTTTCCGACAAACCCAATAGCTGGGTACTCATTAGGATGAGCTCCAAGTTGTCATAATATGCTTTATGACACTATTTTAAATTAAATTATTTAAAGAAAAAAGTGAACTGAATTGTTTTATTTTAAAAAATATTAGTCTTCTGGGCCAGCCGAGTGGCTCAGTTTGTTAAGAGCGCAAGTTCTGAGCAACAGAGTCATCGGTTCGATTCCCACATGGGCCAGTGAGCTGCGCCCGAACTGAGCTGTCACTAAGCTGCCAACATGTGGCAAGATGGTTCAGTGGTTAGAGCATGCGCTCTTAGCAACAAGATTTCCAGTTCGACTCCTGCATGGGATGGTGAGCTATGCCCACCCACAACTAAGACTGAACACGGCACCTTGAGCTGAGCCGCCACGAGCTGCTGATGGGCGGCCAGATGGGAGTAGAGCTGGAGCTGAGATAGCTGTGCCCTCCACAACTAAGATTAAAGAACAGCAACTTGTCTGTTCCCCTTCTCCAATTCTCCAACACTGTTCCCCTTCCCCAATTCCCCAATAAAACCTTAAAAAAAAAAATTAGTATTCTTCATACACATATACCTAACATTGAAAATAAAACTAATAAAACAATGTTTAATTTAAGTGTTACATGCTTCATTATTTTTTGTGAGCAAGATTAACTGTAATAGTTTTGGCATGGTGATTGTGTTGTTGATTCTTTCTCCTCTTCTCAATTAAAACAAAAAAGAGCTGCTGGTTCAGAAGAAACTCATTTCTCCAGGTGACTGTTGGGAAGATCCTGGTCAAGCTTGAATCAACAACTATGATGAATTCTTTGGCTTGAAAAAAGTAGGTTGCTTTACCCACAAATACACATTTGGAAGTAAAGAAATGTTTTAAAGGGATGCGTGAGACAAAATGTTTTACTGAGTTTTCAAGACGTCTGCTTGGCCTGTATTGATAGTGACAGACTGTACAGAGTGACAGACTCTAAGGTGAAGCTATGATAATAATACCCAAAATAATAAAACGATTGAACAAAGGAGGCAGAACCATTATGAAGAATGCTCACTTGGGATATACAGAGAAGCTTCTTTCAAAACATCTTCAAAATATTGTACCCCAGTTCCTAACAGAATCCATAGTATGTGTTCGTATCAATAGACAGCTGGGTGGCCAGAAGGCCAGCTGGCTAAGAACTAGAACAAAACTAGAAGTCTCTCTTCACATATTACCTTTCCTCAACCCAAGCTTCTGAGTGTTCCCAGGATTCCATTTGAACGTAAGCCTTATTTTTGGTATAGAGATTGAAAATCAAGATCACCATGTATCAGATAATGTATGTGAAAAAAACTATTCCTTTAAAAAAAAAACTATTAAAAGTTCTGTAAAAGTATATTTTTCTCTACATACTTCAATACGAATAATTGCAATACCAAAAACATTGTGTTATTCTTAAGTAAATTCATACTATAACCGTTACCTCATATGTCACTGTTAGAAAATACTTATGGAACTGCTTCCTCAAGTTTTTCTTTTAAAAAAAATTGGCACGTTATCTCTCTCTTGAAAGGGGGTTTCATTTTCCTTTTTCCCATTTATGGGTTAGAATAAAACCACAAGTTGACTGATTTCTAACACAAAATATTTCCCTTATCATCTTCTCAAAGGAGGTTACCATAAATGGAGTCCAGGGGACAATATCATTTGATATTTACTTATCCAATTTTATGCTATTAGAACTAAAAGAATTGTTAATAAATGTGATGTGTCCTCAAATATCTATTCATAATAAAATTGAATCTTAAGAACATAATATTCTAAAGCAATTGTACTTGCTAACTGCTATGTGCAGTATTGTTTGTTCATTCTAAACACATGCTAGAGTTCAAACAAACATGTAACATTGTTTTGTTTAGTTGCAGTAGTTTATAAATAGCTTTACTTTACCATTTACCAAACCTCTTTTGTTGAGTTATTCGAACTAACTTCTGCCAAGAACACTAGGAATTTGGTGATAGTGCTTCTTTTAGGAGAAAAACAACCCCTTGCTTCAGAAAATTGAAAATGTTTATCTTGGCATTAAAGCCTTGTATTGAGCCTTCTGGAAAGTATTTTGAATTGTTGTTTTTAACTTAACCTAGACTTTGTGACTGAAACAGGAAAAGGTTCCATAGCTCTGCCCCAAAATACATATTTACAGGGTTGATTTTCTTTCTACACCAAAAATACTAGCTTATGACAGCAGTTTTCAAAGAACCATGCTAAAAATTGAGTATTATCACTATATTCAACACACAATTTGTTTTTTAAAACGTCAAAAACTTCTGATGACTAAGAAACGCTAAATGCTGATCAAATATGCTATCATTAAGTGCCATATTGGGAAGAACTATTTCATTTAACTACCTGTTCTGTTAGGAATTTTCACAAGAAGAAAATTTACTTGATATTGACTTTCCTCCTGTGTATATCGACAAAAGGTATGCTTCTAAGGTTTTATATTTGTTATATTTCCCCCCCTCCCCAGGTATGCTTTATCTTCAGTCTAGAAAGAACATAAACAATATGAACTTTTTGCAATATTGTCCTATTAATGTGTTTCAGTACAATTATGACGTTTTTGAAAATTGATAAAATCAAATAGTCGTTGTTCTTAACTCCTCTACCATACCCCTAAGTTAGTAAAATATAAGAGACCGCAGAAATTGTATGGTGTGTATGGAGCGCCTTTAAAATGGTTAAGTCAAACAATTTCACCAGCAGCACCAGATAGATGCAATGATTTTTCAGTCATAATAACTGACACAAAATATTGGGTTGTTGGGAAAGTCATGATGCATTTTTGCAACTAAAAACATAGAAAAAAATACGTCATGACTTTTCCGACAACCCAATACTACACATCCCATTACCCAATCCTTTGCAGATCAAGCCCTCCCTACCCTAAAACTTTATGCATTTTTTTCCCTTCTAACAGCGTGGCTGTCCCTTTACAAGAATAATAACAGCAACATTATCATTTTACATTTGCATATAACTGTTTTTGATAAAGTCAAAATAATTAAAACTATATCATTGTGCTTATCAAACATTAGGACATTCCAGCAGGAAATTAGTTGTTCAAAAATTCTGGTATGGTTGAATTATCTTATTCAGGTTGAAAAAAGACAGAGATATATCCAAATATATCCTATTTTTAAAATCCATAATTGCCTTTGTCAATTAAGTAAAAATTTTAATTTTAAAAGCCTGGTCCTTCCTGCTGTGATTGAATTCTGCATATATCCAGAAATATCAAGAATCTATTCAAATGAGTACAATAAGAGTGAAATCAATGGGAATTACTAATATCACTGAAAATGAAGATTATGAAGAAGAAGACTTTTCATAAACAAAAAATCATATTCCCATACTGCTATGGTTATATAACAATGTCAGACATCCTTTTTATTGGCACTGAAAACTTGTGCAATCCTAAAACTCCCCCACGTTCCTCAGTCTCAGCATTAATGAAAAATACAACTCTAACATCATGGACTAATTTAATATTTTACAGACTATGATTGATGTGCTACGTTACCTTCACAGAAGACTTAGATTAAACTTTACCATCACTTCTCATTTAAATTTAAAATGTTAATTGTTTTATAAGGAAAGTGAAGAATATTTAAAATCAGGCCCATGAAAAACACCTATCAGTATCTGAGAACTATTAATTTACATACTCAGCTTTCCAAATAAGTCTGTTAGTAAAATGTGGGGGAAAAAGAAAAAATCTTCCTTCCCTCTCTTTCTCTATTTACTAAGGAGCAATGATGTATCTCTAACCACTCTAAAAAACAAAACTTGCAGGGGTAATTATTTGGGGAACACTTTAGTTACATGCTTGATAAAAAATTACAAAGGAACACTATTTTTTCTATTAAAATAAATTGGTATAACAGAACATACCTGAAAAAGAACATGTACATGGCAGCTGTGATGCAGAACAAAAGGACCTATAACAAGGAGAAAATACATTACTTGCAAAGGAAAATTGACATCATCATTGGTATGTCTTATGAAAACAAAATACCTACTATTAAATTTTGTACTCGAAACAATTTAAAGATGTGCAAAAGTAGTCACACATTTATCACATTCTCTACCTTTCAAATAAACTAAATTACGGCAATAATGAGTCTGTATACACACACACACACTCATATATAAGTAAAAAGTATGTACATTATACAATATCTATATGTATTACAATATGTATTTATGTATATAGATTGGGTAGAAGTGTAACAGAATTCAAAAAAGAACAGGCAATTTTTTTAATTACCTCTAAGAATGCCATAAAAAAGAATGAAATCTTGCCATTTGTGACAACACAGATGACCTAGAGAGTATTATGCTAAGTGAAATAAGTCAGACAGAGAAAGACAAATACCATATGATCTCACTTATATGTGGAATCTAAAAAACAAAATAAATGAGCAAACAAAACAGAAACAAACTCATATACAGAGAACAAACTAATGGTTGCCAGAAAGGAGGGAGGGGGTTGGGGACTGGGTGAAAAAGGTGAGGGATTAAGAAGTACAAATTGGCAGTTATAAAAATAGTCACAGGGATGTAAAGCATAGGGAATATAGTCAATAATATGTCTGATGGGTACTAGACTTATTGGGGTGATGATCACTTTGTCGGTTATATAAATGTTTAATCACTATGGCGTACACCTGAAAGTAATATAATACTGTATATCAACTATAACTCAAAAATTTTTTTAAAAAATGCCTGAAGAAGTTAAGAACAAAGACAATGGCTTTTATATAACGAAACCAGCAAATAAATCATAATGCTTATTAACTATTATATTAAGATTACCATATTTTTAAAAAATACAGTTCAGCCGTCAACTAATTCTAATCAATAAGAACAGCTCCTAAAAACATAATCATCCTTTGTGGGATATAAACTAGCTATTAAAAAATTCCTCTAAAAGCAGGCATCAGAACACACAGTAAATCTGGATTAAAGAAGCTCCTCTCAAACACATCATACTACACGCAACATATCAATACTAAGATGTATATGGAAAGGTTCCAAAAGGAGTCCTGACCCAAAGCTTAGTTATGTCAACAAAGCTTTTCTCTTTACTCTCCGTGTTTCACTGTGGATCATTTCTACCGTATGTCTTCAAGTGTACTTGGATCAATCCACTTCACTGATGTCAATTTGATCTGTATTAGCTCCTTTTTTCTGCTTGCTTTGAATTTAGTTTGCTTGTTTTGTTTGTTTTTCTAGTTTCTTAAATACAGAAATGTAGGCCACTGATTTAAGATTTTTTTAAAGATAGCATCTGTCTTAAAAATGCATTTTATGCATAATGCTATAAATTTTCTCCTAAGATCTGCTGTACATGTATGTATCCTACTAATTTTGGTAAGTTGGGTATTCACTTTTGCTCCATTCAAAATACTTACTAATTTTGCTTCTGCTTACTTCTGTGATCTATGACTTAGTTGGACGTGTGTGATTTAGTTTCCAAATATTTGGAGATTTTCAGCAATCTTTCTGCTGTTACTGACTTCTTATTTGATTCTATTATGGTCAGAAAATACTTTATATGACTTGATTATTTCTAAATTTATCAAAACTTGTTTTATGTCCCAAAATATGTTTCATATGTTTGGTAAATATCCCATGTGCATTTAAAAAGAATGTGCATTCTACTGTTGCTGGGCAGAGGGATCTATAAATGTTAGTTATGTCAAGTTGGTTGACATTTTTGGTTCAAACCGTCTATATCCTTAGTGATTTTGTTTTTGGTCACTTGTTCAATCAGTTATTAAGACAAGGTATCAAAATATCCTACTATGATTGTGGAGTTGTCTCCACAATCTCTCCTTGCAGAGCCATCAGTTTTTCGCTGGTGTATTCTGAAGTTCTGTTATTAGGGACATGAACATTTAGAATTCTGCCTACTTTATCATGATGAAATTACCTTCTTTATCTCCTCCGATAATGTTCTTTGCTCTGAAACCTGTTTTATCTGATTATAAAACTACTGCTTTCTTTTGATTACTGTTAGTTTTCCATTCTTTTACTTTTCACTGATTGGGTCTGTATATTTGAAGTTCATTGCTCATAGGCATGATATCAGTTTCTTGCTGTCTATGCTATCTGAAAATCTCCACCTTTTCACTGATATATTGAGATTGTTTACATTTAATGTGATTATTGGTAAGTTCAGAATTAAATCTATCACTTGCTATTTATTTTTCTATTGTCTCTTATTGTTTCCTTTTTCCTCCTTTCTGCCTTTTTTTGGATTATTTTTTTATGATTCTAGTTTCTTTCCTTTGTGGGTTTATGTTAGTGTTTGTTTTAGGGTTTATAGTATACATCTTTAAGTTGATACAGTCTCCATTCAAGTGATATTATACCACTTAACATATAATATAGAAACTTGCAATAATTTACTTCCATTTCTCCCCTCATGACCTTTGTGCAATTGTTGTCACCCATTGTACCTTCATAAAACCACTATATTTTAATCATTTTTCAAACCCTAATGTCCAGGATCTTAAAACCATTGTTACCTGTGTTTTGCCACATTTTGGTTGTTTCAACTGGAAAGGTGAGGATTATATCCTGATCATCCCTTAACTGTTACTAGGTTGTGGCCAAATGCAGAGTGTGGTTATTTAAATTAAAAAATGTACATCTAAAAAAAATTTCACCTTTTTTTTTTTAAAGATACTTTTGCTGGATATAGATTTCTAGGTTTAAAATCATTTCATTTCAGTAGTTCACTCAATGAATGTCACTACAATATTTTCTTAAAATTTGATTATGATGTGTCTTAGGTCTTGTACTAGGGGTTAAGTTTCTTGAATCTGTAGGTTTACAGTTTTCATCAAATTTGAAAGAATTTTATTTTATTTTTATTTAAAAACATTTTTTTTTAGCTGAGCCATCCTGCCACCTGTTGGCAGCTCAGCAGCAGCTCAGCTCAGGCCAGGACTCAAACTGCTGTTGCTCAGAGCTCGCACTCTTGAGTGAGCTCTTAAACAACTGAGCAACTCTGCCGGCCCCTGAAAAAATTTTAAACCATTATTACATGAAATATTTTTTTTCTCCCCTCTTCTCGTCTTCTTTAGGAACTCCAATTAATGTAGAGTAGGTCACATGAAATTCTCCCACAACTCACAAATGTTCTCTTTATTAAAAAAAGAAAAAAATTCTCTTCACTCTGTGTTTCATTTCGGATAGTTTCTACTGTTATGTTTTCAAGTTTACTAATATTGTCTTCTGCAATAGAGTATGTCATTAATGTCATCCAGTAAACTTTCCACCTTACACATTGTAATTATCAACTCTACAAGTTTGATTTGGATTTTTTCCCATTTTCCATGTTTCTAACTTTTTGAAACTACAGAATTCAGTTATAATAACTCTTTTTAATGTTCTTGCCTGCTAACTAACAGCTTTGTCATATTTGGTTTGGTATTGACTGGTTTATCTCCTCATTATGGATCAAGTTTTATTTCTTACTGCATGCCTGGTAATTGTGATTGGATATTAGACACTCTGAATTTTACCTTAGTGGGTGCTGGATATATTTGTATTCCCATAAATCTTCTTGAGCTTTGTTCTGGGACACAGTTAAGTTATTGAAAATAGTTTAATCCTTTAAGGACTTGTTTTTTAGATATTTTAGGAGGGAGGAGAGTAGTGCTTAACTTATGGCTAATTAGTCCCCATTACTGAGATAAGACCCTTATGTGTCCCTCAGCGCCACATGGATCTTGATATTTTCCAGTCTGGCTTGTAAGGCATCTATTCCTGCTGCTATGTGAATGCCAAGCACTCAGTTAAGGACCTCTAATCCTTTCAGGTTGTTCTTTCCTTGGCCCCGGGATTTTCCTCCCTCACATGTCCTAATCAGTAATCAGCTGAGTCCTTTCCTCTCCCGTCTTCTGTTCTGTGAACTCTGTCCAGCATGATCTCCTTTCACTCTCCACTCTGTTTCCTCAACTCAGAGAGACCTCTACGCTTTGTCCAGTGACTGGTATATCACAGATGTTCAATAACTGATAACTACTAACAAGAAATAATTTCTCTGCGATTCCCTTCCATTTCACAAACATTGCATAAAGTATTTACAGAGGAAAATAATTTTAAGTAATTTTGAAATCGCTATTTTCACCTTAATTTTTTAACATTTTTTTAAATTCGGAAAATTTAATTCAAAAACATAATTTAAGTGAAAGAAACAAGTTACAAAGGACTACATGCTGTATGATACCATTTATATGACATTTCAGAATAGACAAATCTATTTACAGAAAGTAAATAATGAATGGGTAGAGCTAGGGGAGTGAGGGTTGATAAGGGAGTATTTGCTAATGGTACAAGGTTTCTTCTGGGGGCGATGAAAAGGTTCTAAATTAGATTGTATGGATAGGTGCACAACTCCATCAATACACTAAAACCCTACGAATTTGGCACTTTAAACTGTAAATTTTATAGCATGTAAATTACATCTGAAAATGCTATTAAAGCTGTTTTTTTTTTTACAATGTAACACATACATGATAAACACTACATTCAAACTAAGTAACAAAAGCACAGTGAAAAGAAAGCGCCCTTCTATTCCAGATTGCTGGTATCCTGTCTGTGTAGAATTGTGTGTGTGTGTGTGTGAATAGACACATACTAATAAAGACATTGTCTTATACCTTTCCTTTCAATTTTACAGATAAACACACAGAATATGGAAATGCTGAACTTTATTTAAACAGACTATGACTAGATATTTAGAGTGGATGCAATGAATATTGAATACCAAAGTACACTTTGTAAACATGTGCACTTATATCTCTGAGGTAAATTCTTAGACCTGGATTCACTGCATCAAGGGATAGGTGCATTTTTAATTTTGATGCACTCCCATCAACAGTATATGAAGGTAGCTTTTCCTTAGACTAGCAATTTCCCTAAA